AGAGTAAACCTGATAAGCAGAAAACTGAAGAAAAAGATTGTCATGGACTTCAGCTGACTTCAGCCTTGTTCCAAACCCATTAAACATTAAACATTCATTCTTTACAACAAAATACTTATTAAAAATGTTTTACGACTCTCTATTATTGACATTATGCTCATCAAAACACTGACACTATTTGAAAAGTAATAATTTACCTTCTTATAAAAACTGATCAGGATGCAAAAACAAGCTCCACACAATAGAAAAACCTCATTGGTTATCACAGAAGCTCATAAGGGATGCAAGAAAGAATCTCACTGGTTGTCTTTGAACTTTCTAGATTTTAATGAGTAAGAGTGAAATGATTTTTTTTTCGGCTCTAGAGCACCAAAAGTTAGTCTTGAAAAATTAAGTTTTTCTATAAAGACTTGGGTAGAAAATCTGGGTGTTATTCTGGATCATGCCTTGAGCTGACAAATGCAGTGGTCAAATCTTGCGTGGTCAAATTCAGCTTCGACTTTTAAAAACAGTTAAATCTATTTTATCTAGAAGAAATTTATTAAAAATTGAAAAAAATAATCCATGCTTTATTACCACTAGGTTGGATTATTGTAGAAAACCTTATTCCGCTTAAAATGAGTTCAAAATGCTGCTGCAAGGCTTTTAACAGGTACCAAGAAACATGCACCAGTTTTACCCTCTTTGCACTGGTTGCCTGTGCACTAATGGGTCACTTTTAAAATTCTTCTCTTGGTTTTTAAATCTCTAAATGGCCTGGCACCTTCTTATCTGTCAGAAATGTTGATTGAGTATCAGGCTGGTCTGTCTTTTTCAATAGTATCTGGATGCAGCCTTTATGATGCAAGCAGAGACTCGATCACTTCATGATGCAATGTCAGACACAATGCCCTCAAATGGAGTGAGGGACATCACTGCGAGGGGTAGGGTTAGGGGTGGGGTTAGGTGAGCCAAATAAAAAGCATTGGATGCAGCTCAGATTGCACTGCACCAGGTCTGCATCCAGACCCCTCTCGTCTCTTTGGTCATCTAACCAGAGACTGTAATGCATCCGTAAGTTCAGGCTGAAATGCAGAGGTAGCTGGTCCAAGATTGTGGAATGCTCTGCCCCTCTGTATTAGATCTGTTTCATCTGTCTGTTTTTAAATCTAGGTTGAAAATGTACCTCTTTGATTTGGCATTTTATCAGTGAAAATTGTCTGTTTTAGCTATAATTTTATGATTTTATATTTATATTTGTTTTCTGTTTTGATCTGTACTGTGTAGCACACATTGGTCAACCTCTGGTTGTGTTAAATAGTAAATAAATAAAATTGACATTGACATTGCAGAAGCTCAAAATGCTGGATACACAAGAACTTGATAGGTCCTTGTGGCAGTGCAAACATGCCACTAGATCGAACCTCATTGCTTTTTTTGTTGTTGCAAAAAATGTTTCTTTTTTTGCAAGAATGAACCTCACTGGTTCTCTGTTTGGCGGAGTATTTGATTTGCTTCCATTGTTTCCCCGCTGTATTTTCCTGAACTTGTACTTCTGACATTGATTTAATAAATGATCGACTGACTCTTCTCCTTGACAATAATCATATACACCAGTAGAATTTTTCCAAATGACATGTAAAGTTTTATTTAATCTACTGTGCCCTAGTCTTAATCTAGATATTACATTATCCTCCAATGTACTTCTTATCCTCTCCATCCTTCCAGCTTTCTTTTGAATGTACCTAACTGGTTCCTGCAGAAGTTTAAACATCAAGTAACAAACAAATCTCACTGTTCCTTGCAAAGGCAGAAATAATTGCACCATGACACACAAGGATTAACCTCATTGGTTCTCGAGAGTCAAGAAAGCATGTTTGAGCTTCTGTAACAAAATCTGACCAATGCAATCCTTGTTGCCAGATAAATGTGAATAAAAAAAACAGTTATGTAATTTGAGAAATTTATATTTTAGTAATTAACTATTTATTATTTTGTTTTAAGACAAGGCAAGTTTAGTTTCTCTCAGTGGTAGCACAGTGCTCATTCAGTAAAGGCACAGGGATGTGAATAGCTGAAGGTGGATTCACCCTGCTTTGACTAAACTCTTGGAATTTCTAGTTTATATGATCCTAGAGATCTGAGTGATTGTTAGGTTTGTATTCAGTGAGCATATCTATAATGTATTGAGGTCCTAGGACATGTAGTGATTTATAGACAAGTAGTAATACTTTAAAATTTATTCTGAATGTAACTGGGAGCCAGTGTAAAGACCTGAGGACAGGTGTGATGTGCTCTGATTTTCTGGTTCTGGTCAGATTCCTGGCAGCAGCGTTCTGAATGAGCTGAAACTGACTTTTTCTTTGGGAAGGCGAGTGAGAAGTCCACAGTAATCCACTCTGTTACTGATAAAAGCATGAACAAGTTTCTCCAAGTCTTTATTGAAAACTAAGCATCTAATTCTTGCAATGTTTTTTGAATGATAGAATGCTGATTTACTTACTGCTTTGACATGACTTCTGACACTCAGATCTGACTCCAGAATCACTTCAAGATTCTTGACCTTATTTTTTGTAATTTGACCTTTAGAGCCAAAGTACGCATTTACCTTGAGAACCTCATCTCTGTTCCCAAATGCAATAACTTCAGTTTTTTCTTTATTTAACTAAAGAAAGTTGGCACATCCAACTGTTAATTTCATCAATGCATTGGCAGAGAGTGGCAGTAGGGCTAAAGTCATAGGGAATTATGGCTAAGTAGATCCGAATGTCATCAGCATGGCTGTGGTAGGAGTTTTGGTTCATTCTCCTTATTTGGTTCAGAGGGAGCAAATAAAGGTTGAAGAGGAAAGTTGCCAAAATTTAACCTTGTGGAACTCAACGTCATGGGTGTCCACCTCGACCGATGGTCACCTATACTGACATAGTAACCTCTCCCTTTAAGGAACCATTTAAAGACCATCCCAGATAGTCCAGAACTGTCCAAAATCAGTACTATGAGGTGCCTTTACGTACAAATGGTACATGCACTGCTCCTTGTCTAACAGAGTATCTATGGCATCTCTTTCAAAGAGTTGGTTTTTGTTTTTCAATCTCTGTATAAAGAGTTACACTTTTTGAATAAACACTTTCAGTGGAAGTAATTCAATTCAGCTTTATTTGTATAGCGCTTTTACAATGTAGATTGTGTCAAAGCAGCTTCACATAAATGGTCATAGTAACTGGAACAGTGTGGTTCAGTAACTGGAACAGTGTGGTTCAGGTTTTAGTGTTTAAGTTCAGTTCAGTTCAGTTTAGCTCAGTTCAGTGTGATTTAATCATTACTGAGAGTTCAAACACTGGAGAGCCAATTCATCGATGCGTAGCTCTACCAATCCTGAACCATGCGAGGCAGTGGCGACAGCGGAGAGGGAAAAAAAAACTTCACCTGATGGGAGTGAAGAAAAAAAACCTTGAGAGAACCAGACTCAGTTGGGCACGACCATTTTAATTTCTCCGCTGGCCAAAAGCCTTGTGCAGAACTTCATTCGCCGTGGTTTAGGCTGGAAGTAGACAAATATCTGATGTTTAAAAATATATGCACGTCTTAATTTGCTTCAAAAATGGATTTATGCATTTGGAATGACAAGAGGGCAAATAAAATGATGACAGGATTTTCACTTTGGGGTGAAACAAAATGCTAACTCAATTATTAACAAAGATCTAATGCATCCAAATTGCCTATAGCTCATCTGTGACTGCACACATATAGCAGGGAGCTGCTGGACAATGCAACATTTATAAGTTGCGAAAAAGAAACTTCCACATGATGATGCAACTACAAGAAATCAAAACCGTGATTCCAGACCATCATTATTTTGAAAATTTAAGGGGGTCTCCTCTGAGCTCCTCCTCTAGATGAGTGTTACATCATCTCTCTCTATTTTTTTTAAAAATGTCTTATTTTTCTATTTGCTCTGTTGCGAGCGGATAAAGGAGAATTAAGCAGTTGATCGGGGCTCAGTGTCCAGAGTGTTGCATTAGACAGTAATCCAGGACATAGGAAGGGGGAGATGGGATAGCATCTCTAATCCCCAGCCTACCCCATCCCAAACACACAAACTGAGGCAGTTTATCACTAAAGAATTCCTCTCTTATATGATTTCAAAGTACAGCAGAGGATTCAACCAGGAACAACACGGCTAATACAAGACTTTTTCCTTTTCATTTCCTCCTCAATCCTCAGCACCAGAGGCCCTCCAGTGGTAGACTTTGTTTTTAACCACAGTTCTCCACAACTCCACCAGCATCTACAGTGACAGATGTTACAGGGGCAACAGTTGGTATTAAGAAGGGGGGGTTTATGGCCATCTGCCCAGGGTCAAGGTTTGGGTGGAAGGAGGTCTTGCTAAAGAGAAAAAGTGGCAACTTGGGCTGCATAGCCAGAATAGTGTTAAATAACAATGTTTCTGTTAAATAAGGTCCATGGTTGTTATGCCGTAATACTGTAGGGGGAGTCAAAGAACAGACTGACGTGATTGGGCTTGGGCTGGTATAAGATTCTGATGATATGATAACCTTGGATAAAAATACCACGGTTTCACGGTATTGTGATTACTGCTCTAAAATATATTCTTTTTAAATGTCTGGGTGAAAAACAACAGAATTCTCCTTCTTTGAACACAACAGATTTCATTTTGAGAAACATTTAAAATTTTTTGGAGCAGTAAACGTCAGGCTAAATAATCCAAAATAAATCATTGACTTCTGCTGTTTTCATTAGTTTCAAAAACACAGATTTCTTTACAATATAAGGCATGTTTGGATAACTTTTCTGCTGGAAATACTGTTGTCCTAAAAACTGCAACACAAAAAAAAAACCTTACAAATACCTTAGGAAGAGTATAGCAGAAAATTTAGGAAATTTTAAAACCTTGACTTTTGCAAACCGCAGTGTACCTTGAAAACAGTCATCTCCCCATGCCTAGACGTGATGGGGTTAAAAACATTAAATGTTGGGGAGAAAGAAAAAAAATTTTGATTAAACAAACATTTAATTTATTGATGCAAGTCAGTGTACAAATAAAATTATTTAGCTTAAATTGTAATTAATTGAAGATCAAATAAGAGCTCTCAAATTTTTGCTAGTGGCTTCCACCTCATCACGAAAGTAGGCAATCTTCCGATGACCCATCTTTTTCTGGAAGGAAGGAGAGAAAAAAAAAAAAAAAACTGAGGAACCCATGAGGAAACCGATTGAAACAAACCATTTAAGTTCAAAAACTAATCTTATGAGTACTGTGAACTTAATCCATTTGAGTAATTGAAGCAATTTGAGCACAGTAAGACCCAATAAATGGAGAACTCAAACCAACTGAGTACTGTAAAACCCAATAAGTTAAAGTAACTAACCATTTGAGTTAGTTAAAAATCTATAGGAGTACTGTGAACTTGCTCCATTTAAGTTAAAGTAATGAGGTATTTAATGAACTCATTACTTACAACACAGAGTTCAAAACTCTTCAAATGACTATAATTAACATTCTGTAAATGGAGTTAACTACTTATTTTCACTTGATAGTTGACTTTTGAGTTTGTGTAATTATTATTAAAAAGATTTAACATGGTAATCTCAAAAGTAATTGTTCAAATAAAATGGATATTATAATCAATCATTTCCTTTACACATTTTCATTTATCTACTGTCCAGCATGGCATCTTTGTTTTTTTATAATAATAATAATATTAATAATAATAATAATAATAATAATAATAATAATAATAATAATAATAATAATAATTTATTGAAAAATAAAGTTGAAAATGTATTTGTATTTTAATTATTTTAATCATCATCAGCAATATAGATAGTTTGAGTTGCTTGTAAGTCTCTAGCTGTACATCAACATTTTATAATTGGAATATAATAAATAGTAACAATAATAATATTACTAATATAATTATTATTAACTAAAGGTTAACATCTTAAAAAAGGGCAATATCACAAATGCATTCACACTAACAATGTAGATGCGAAGTCGCTCCTGTTCCAGATGAAAATACTCGATGGCCGTGAGCTCATCAAATGTCTTACTCATGTGAAGAAAGGCACAGTTGGGGGAGCGTTTGGCATGCTCAGACCTTAATGACAACAAAGAAATTAAATAATACTACTAATAATATAATATAAAAAAATTTAAATAAAATTATAAAAAAAATTGTACACACACACGCACCTAAAGTGAACTACTACAATCGCAGTGAGAAACAGCATTTAAGTAAATAAAAGGTGTGCAGAGAAGAACCGTGCGAATGGCTGATGAGGTGTGCTGCCACTGCTAGAGCTCACCAGGGATTGTCATCTGGTTCCCAGCCCTCCAGTTCGCGAAGACAGTAGAAACAGCAGGCAACGTCTGGCTCATTCTCACTGGGACAGTGAACAAATCCTGCCTTCGCCATCTGAGGACAAGATTCACACGATTCTTATTACTCTAGTTTATTACAACAGCAGCGAGTGCTACAGTGCAAGACAAATGCTTATTAGTTTGAGTTTTTTTTTTTTACATTTTTCTTTTTTATTTAACCTTCATATAACAAAAAGGCATTTTTCAACTTCCATTGTTAAAGATATATAACATTATATCCAAGCAGCATATAACAAACAAAATAGTAAAAAATAATAGGAATGACAACAGCAAACCTTAAATAATACAAAAGAAAATACATTACATCCAAGGGGAGTCAGTCCATAAGCTGACAAAAGTTTAGAAAGCTTTAAGGCACCTTTAGTTTTTACCCTTTTTATGAATTCATATAAAATGTTGAAATCATTTTAAATGCTTTGAAACAAGGAGAAACTTTAACAAATCTACATTTGTAGATATAAAATTGAGATGCAATCCAATCAACATACTACACAGAAATTCAATTTCTGTTTTTCATAAAAAGGCCAAATTTTCACAATGTGATAGTCAAACTCATAGAATCTGTCCCAAAAGGATTTTTCAACAGAACTACTATATATATATATATATATATATATATATATATATATATATATATATATTTCAAGCAGAAGATACAAGCATTACAGTCTAAATTAAACCTCATTCTAAGAAATTCATTACATGGATAAATGTCATTAATTGTTCTGAAATGTACTTCTTTCATTTTAGGTAACAAAGGAAATGACAGGTATCTTTTTCTAACTTCAATAATGTCCGCTTTAGAAAAACTCTCAGATAAAACTTTTCTTTTAACAGGAAGAGGAAAATATTCTTCTGTCAGTAGTGATCTCAAGACCTTGTTGTTAATATAATGAATAATTTTTAATAAACAAATCAACTTGTGTAGGTTTTACAGAAGAGTATTGCACTATACCTTTAACTAAATTCATCAAAGCTACAAGAATAGCTTTGACAACCAAAGAGAATTCGCTGTATAAACAATTAAAATGAAACCTAAAATGATCAAACTCAATATTTTACCAACATCCATTAATTACATTCAAAACTCCTTTGTCAAACCAGTCTTAGAAGAAAAGAAATTCCTTCAACCCTTTGAAAAATATTAAAAGAGATGCTAAACCATGAAGACAGTTCATCTTAAAAAAAAAAAAAAAAAAAAAAAAAAAAAAAAAAAAAGCTTTGTATTAGTTAGATATCTCGACGTTTCTCGCGCTTTCCACTCACCAGTTCTGGTGTGCACTGGCAATCTTCTCGAAAAGGCCACTCGGAAAAAGTCTGAAGTCTTTTTTCATAACTATACATCTGATTAAAGGACAGCAGTCTGGAGGCGATAACGTCTGTGTTCGACATTTCTGAAGCTGAAGAAATCGAGAACAATAACCGCAACTCACTAATAACCTGGTTGCGTGTGGATTGCTGTTTAATTGGTGGCTTTTGATGATTGATTGATAAATCGCTGACAGCTGAGGAGGAAAAACTAAAGAGAGAAACTTCGCTGTAAGATGACACATAGAAATTACTAAATATGCGATGTTATGCATGTTTATGGTTATTTTTTTCATTGTAGGCTACTGATTGAATAAACATTCTTTTTATAAGTAAAGATGTTTACTACTGAAATTCGCTGAACTTAGTTACACGTTTGAAGGACGATGTCTCCCTCTGCTGGACGAAGATAACTGAGGTTTTAAATAGATATTTAATGCCAAACTGAACATTTTGTCATCATTTAGCTACTTTTGCTTATAACTCTTTATGAATTTCTTTCTTTCTTTTTTTTTTTTGAGTATAAAAGAAGATATTTTGAAAGGTGGTAATTACTGACATCCATATTACTTGTGTTACTTACAATGAAAGTCATTGGTTGTCGGTATTAAAACATTTGTGTTGAAAAAAAAATAAAAAACTCAAAAACAGAAATATAGTTTTGCTCTGGTAACAAACTCTCCCAAGTATGGTCTGTCAATATCAGGTGGTATTTTGAACAAATGTAGAACAACTTCAAAATGTTATGTTTTTGAAACATAATCTGCACATTGTTACTTTTGACCCCGTCGATAGGGACAAACTAAACACAGGTGTAGGTTAAAAGTAACAAAATGTGCTAGATTTATAGCTTAATCTTTTTTATTTTAAATATATCTGACAATGACCTTGGTAACTGCAAACATATTTTGTCCTTTATAGCTGCAAAAACAAAAATTTATCAAATTGCATTATCATTTTAAATTTCTCTTCCATCAAATGTTTCAAAAATAACAATACAAACGTTTCCACCTCAGAACAGTTAAGAAACCAACATTCGTATAATATTTAATAAATATATTATCTTTTACCTTGATTTGCAATTCCAAAAACTGATAACAATATGTTGTTCTGACAAAACAAACTCTCACCGGCCACTTTATTAGGTACACCTTCCTAGTACCAGGTTGGACCCTCTTTTGCCTTCAGAACTGCCTTAATCCTTCATTGCAATTATTGAACAAGGTACTGGAAATATTCCTCAGAGACTTTGGTCCATATAGACATGATAGCATCACAGTTGCTGCAGATTTATCGGCTGCACGTACATGATGTGAAATTTCCCGTTCTACCACATCCCAAATGTGCTCTATTGGATTTAGAACTGGTGACTGTGAAGGCTATTTGAGTACAGTGAACTCGTTGTCATGTTCAAGAATCCAGCCAGAAATGATTCATGCTTTATGTCATGACGTGCTATCCTGCTGAAAGAAGCCATCAGAGAGGGGTACACTGTGGTCATAAAGGAATGGACATGGTCAGCAACAATACTCAGGTAGACTGTGGTGTTGAAACAATGCTTAATTGGTACTAATGAGCCCTGAGTGTACCAATAAAATACCACCACCACCACCAGCTTGAACCGTTGATACAGGATGGATCCATGAAGACAGGATGGATTCATGCTTTCATGTTGTTGACGCCAAATTTGAGTTACTGTTGCCTTTCTATCAACTTGAACCAGTCTGGCCATTCTCCTCTGACCTCTGGCATCAACAATGCATTTGCGTCCACAGAACTGCCGCTCACTGGATATTTTCTCCTTTTCAGACCATTCTCTGTAAACCCTAGAAATGGTTGTGTGTAAAAATCCCTGAAGATCAGCAGTTTCTGAAATACTCTACTAACAACCATGCCATGTTCAAAGTTAATTGAATAATCTTTCTTCCACATTCTGATGCTTGATTTGAACTGCAGCAGATCGTCTTGAACATGTCTTCATGCCTAAATGATTCAAGTTGCTTCCATGTGATTGGCTGATTAATCATTTGCACTAATGAGCAGTTGGATAGGTGTACCTAATAAAGTGGCCAGGGAGTGTATTTTACTAATAAATTCTAAAACCGCCCAATGAATGCTTTGGAATGGAAACCACGTCAAGCCTGATCCTTAACAAGCTGTATAAAGATTCCTGTGATGTCTAGTTAACCGCTACAGGCTGCACAGCTACTTCTGTGGTAGAAATACAAGATTCCCTGGAGCTGCACATCATCAGCCATTTATACTAGACACACAAGCACACACACAAAAACACAGACTCAGATGAGCTGAACCCTCCAGCTGCTTCTTACTCAAGCCTAACCAATTACCGTAAGCCAATACATGTGACATAAAGTGAGATGACAGTGAGTGGCAGACAACATTACTGGTTTGCGGCGCGAGTGTTTGGAAGCTGTTTATGACTGGTGGGTACAGGAGGAGGCCCTGTTTCTGTCACCATGTTCTGTAACTGTATCTCACAGCGCTCGGCTGTTGAAATGTGCTTACTGCTTCAGAACAGCAACCCCTCAACCCTTCCCTGCCCTTCATCTGAAGTATCGGTTTGTGCGTCACAAATAAATACTGCTGTTAATATGTTAATTGATCTGAAAGGGGTGGGATGGTCGTGTTGCATCTAAAGGAGGTTTTCAGTGAAATTATTTGTGCGACTTTGAAGATTCACGGCTGCTTGTTCTCTCTTTTGTGGTGATAGTTTGTCACTTAATATTGGGTGTAGAGTTTCACATCAGACATATTTGCCGCATTCATTTCTGGCCAGAGCCCACACCAGAGCTGTCAGTCATCTGCAGACCGATCAGGACTCATTCAGCGGGAATAATTTGTCATCAGCTGGACTTCTTGTATGTGGCCTTGTTAAAAAAAAGAAATAAAAAGTGACCAGGTTTTTGTGTGGCTAAAAAGGCATCATTTATTGCCCACACAGGAGAACTGACAAATGATTAGAGGGATCTGCATTGGGCTATGACCCAGACCCAGAATCCAACCCACAACTGCAGCAGCTCCAACATGACTAAAACTGTCCAGTCCAGAAGGAAATGCAGAAGACTGTGATTCTGTCCTTCCTTCCTTGTTTGTTTACAGTTACAATAATAATAATAAAAATAATAATTTTAATATTAATAATAATAATAATTTTAAATAATAACAAACATAATTGTAATTACATAATAACAACATTATTATTTTTATTAGTAGTAGTATTAATAACAAATATTATTAAACCATAATTAAAACATATTTGTTGTAATTATTAAAATATAAAATTTTAAGTAATAAAATAGTTTACAAATAATAGTTAATAATAATAATAATAATAATAATAATAATTGTTGGCTATTTCATTATTAATAAAATACTAAATAGTATGTTTACAAATCATGATAATTATAATTACTAGTTATAATAATTCTTAAAATTATATTAATATAACCATTAAAAAATATATATAGTAAATTAACATTCATAATATTATTTATTTATTTTCTTAATCATCATCAACAATAAGTGTTTATTGTTTTTGCTATTATTAAATATTAAATACAAATTGTTTACAAATTATAAATATTTATATTTAATTTAGTAATAATATTTAATTATTTATAACTGTAAATTACTACTAATATTACTTCTTATTTGGAATAGCAGTAGTACTAGTATATTAAATCTCATATTTATTTAACAGTAGATTATAATAGTTGCTTCTTTTGTGTTATAAAAGATCAAATATCAATATTATTGGATTTGACACAATTAACTCAACTAACTGTATGTTTGCTTCCTTTTCTGTTTATTCTAAAATGTTCCTGATATCCTTCTTCACTTACAAAATTCCCAAACTTCATCAGCGGCGTCAACACAGAAAGCCCTTGCCACTTTTATCCCTCTAATAGAAAAATCATTAGTCATGCTCCAACAAAGTTGCCCATATTATGAAATAAGACCTCAATGTTCCACTTGGATTTGGTCACAGCCCTCCTAGGAGACATTAAAGCGTCTACATCTTCCCAGCTATCAGGTGTGTATCTCACATTCCTCAGCCTGCACCTCTCTCTCTCTCTCTCTCTCTCTCTCTTTCGCTCTCTCTCTCTTTCTCTCTCTCCCTCTCTCTAGAAATGTAACAAAATATAAGTGAATGCATCAAACCGTTTTTTTATTTTAATTTGATGTAATCCAATATTCTCAGTCCAAGATTTTCTGTACATTCAAAATATTTATGTTGCTTGTACAAAGTACTTATTTAAAATAAGCTAAAATAACACAATTCTTGAGATTGTTTGATGGCAACTTAATTTTTTTATGCTCAGTCAACTTAAATTTAATTCACATTAACTTAATCAGTTTGTGTGAAAACATGACTGAATTGTGTGGAACCCTGCCTTTTTTACAGTGTATAACAAAAAAACTACGCTAAAAAAGAAGTTTGCTGCGTGTTGAAACTACTTATTTAACATGAGCTGAAACAACACAATTCTTGAGGTTTTTGGGGGGGACAACTTAATTGTTTCATGTTCATTCATTCATTCATTTTCTTTTCAGCCATCACAGCGGAATGAACCAGCTTATGTTTTCGCAGCACATGTTGTATATGTTTTACGCAGTGGATGCCCTTCCAGCCGCAACCTAACACTCGGAAACACCCATACACTCTTACATTTACACATATTCACTATGGCCAATTTAGTTTATTCAGTTGACCTATAGTGCATGTCTTTGGACTGTGGGGAATACCAGAGCACCCGGAGGAAACCCATGTGAACACGGGGAGAACATGCAAACTTCACACAGCATGCCAACTAGTCAAATATTATTTACTGTTATTATGGCAAAGATAAAATAAATCAGTTATTAAAAATGAGTTATTAAAACTGTTATGTTTAGAAATGTGTTCTCTAAAAATCTATATATATAGATGGCAAACCCAGGCTCATTTTGATAACGAACCCCTATATACATTTCTGAAGAAAGCAAAATACATTCCAAAAGCTACTTTTTTTTTTTTTTTTTTTTTGCAGTTTTTGTTTTT